ACTGTTTTTTTTTTTTTTTTTTTTTTTTGGTCCGCGTTCGGCCCGAGCGGCCGAACGCCTCCCGAAGGGGTCCCGTACGTTCGGGCGTTCGGGTTCGGGCGTTCGGCCCGTCCCGAACGCCGGTAACCCTGTAAAAGTCCAGTCCCTAAGTCCAATTTTGCAGCAGCATCCCAGGAAAAAGATCATGCAGCAGACAGGCCACGGGCAACCAGTACCGGTCGGAAGCAGGCCGAGAACAAGTCAATGTTCCTATTTATATTTGCTGCGGTGCAGCGCTTGGACACTCAACCAGTCGTGAACTTGCAGAAGTACTGCTCGCTGCGTGTGCGACTTAGCGACTTGAGCGATACGTTTGGAAGACGAAGGAGGTGCCTTAGATAGGGTTTCAAGTGGGGAAGACGGCTGCCATAGCCACTGCAGTTGATAGTGACTTAGGGCGGATGAATCCAGGGTGTAGTAACTAGGACTATGTGCGAGAGAGAGAGAGAGAGAGAGAGAGAGAGAGAGGGAGAGAGACAGAGAGAGAGAGAAATCAAGTAGGAATCTGGGGTCAGGTACTTGCTCAGGGGGTTGTTGGTTGCTACGCCGCTAGGCACTGCTACCCGAACTCAATGGTTTTATAATATGATAATTGTTTGAAGATTCCCGAGCTTTAATAATTTGGTGTTTCAGCTCTCTGGTGTGATGTGAAACTTCGTGTGAACTTTCATGGTTGCATATCTGATTGAGGGTGAATTTGAAAGCGGTTCATAAAAAGATTTTCAATAAATTAATAAATCCACATCAAACAGAGAGTGAAAAAGAGGCACATATATTTTTGTCATACACACATACATAGTACATACATAGCCTAGGCTACCAGCTGTGCCACGTCCGTCACCTTAGTTGCCCAGGCGGCCAGGCTGAGGCAAGGGACGGCAAAGGTCCCTGCAAAAAAAATAAAAATCCAAAAATTGAAAGGAAAAAAAGACATTATGTTATATAGAGAAATAAACTGAACAAATTTTGCCTCAGGGTCACATCGAAACTCTTTACCAAATTAGAAACCAAAAATAATTTACTTATTTAGTATTTACTATTTAGCATTTACTTATTTTAAGTTACTTATTTCTTTACATTATTTTTGCCCAGCTGCGNCAAAAATAATTTACTTATTTAGTATTTACTATTTAGCATTTACTTATTTTAAGTTACTTATTTCTTTACATTATTTTTGCCCAGCTGCGTGAGTAATCCCCGGCCACTCCCGTAGCCTAGATGCATACCCCCCCCCAAAAAAACAAAAAAAAAGCACATACATATTACTTACCCATATCGATGGCGAAGCGGACATGATATGGCACATCAAACTCTCGCATCTCAACAATCTGGTCCAGATAATCTTGTACCCGTGTATGTTGATCCCTACCCTGGCTGCAATGTTCACAGGCAAAACAGGCCATGTTTATATTAACTGAAAAAGTGTCCGTACCCAGCCCATGTGGCTGAGTTATACATGGATGAACTGTCGGTAAGGAGACCTGAGTTCGAACTGTTGGTAAGCAGACCTGAGTTTGAATCCTGATGAGATCAGATGAATTAAATAACTATTAAGTACCTTGGGCCAATCAGTGCAATGATGATGATACCTCAAGGTCATCATTGTTTATAGAAAAAGAAGAAGAAGAAGAAGAAGAAGAAGAAGAAGATGATGATGATGAAGATGATGAAAAAGCATCCACAGATTCCATAGTCTTGCTTTCTTAAATATAAAAAAAAAATGCATCCATAATGAGAGCCGAGCAGTAGTCGCTAAAACCTAGGCTACCAACCAGGCCAACCGGGTCACCTTGTTTCCCCGCCCCGGGCAGCCCGGCCATGCAAGGACCAGGGAAGGTCCCAGCAACAAAAAAAAAGTCGAAGTACAAAGCCAAAGTACAAAGTCAAACTACAAAGTCAAAATACAAAGTCAAAATACAAAGTCAAAATACAAAGTCAAAGCACAAAGTCAAAGCACAAAGTCAAAGCAACAGCCCAAACAATCACTACAACCCTAACTCTTTTTTTTTCATGTTACTTTTTATTGATACTACAACCCTAACTCCTCAGAGTGAAGAAAACAACCAAAGGGCCTATGTGGGCATTACTAATTTTGGAAACATAAGTCAAAGAAAAGACATGGCGAGTCATTTGGCGACTGATCGATGTATATACCGTTGCACCCGTTTCTCGGCACTTGAGATCCTTGCCTGACCGATACCCTGTTTTTCCGGTGACGTGAGCCAACCATACTTCAACTCAAGTACCCTTTTTTTTGGTCTTGTTTTTCCCAGAGCTGATCACAGATCACTCCCACCAACCACACTTCAACTCAAGTACCCTTTCTTTTGGTCTTGTTTTTCCCATAGCTGATCACAGATCACTCCCACGCATTTTGCGTTCCTCTGCTCTCAAGAAAATGCTCACATGAAATAAAGACAAATGAGTTGAAAATTTGAATGGCATATTAAACTTGATAAAAGCACATCCCTTCCCCAGTCTTCTGAATGCCCCCCCAACATTGAAGGTCATCAATAGGCCAGCAGCAACTCATACACCTGCAATGGAACCCCAAGGGTTCTGAACAACAGCAGATGTGCATTACCCCCTATTGAGAAAACAGGAAAAAAAAAAAAAAAAAAAAAAAAAAACAGATTATACAAGAAGAAAGAGAAAAAGAGAGAGAGAGAGAGAGGAAAAGGGTAAAAAAATAAAAAACCAGAGATGGATGGTGTCATTCATATTCCATTGTCAGAGGCGAAATTCTTGGATATATGGATGGCAAATTTAAAATAAATGGAAAACAAGAATTGAACAATAGGATACTCACTTCAGGCTCCGTTGGAGCGTCTCATACGCTTCTGCGGCTGCTTGCTTGGCTTGATTGCGCTCAATCGCTGGCATGAGATCCGACTTAACCTCCATCAGTTGCTGTACAGTAGGGAAACTCACCTTCAACATGGATCGCTTCATTCCCGAAAGGTGATTTTTCTGGAGCATGCAGCCACAAGGAGAGAGAGGAGATATCATCACAAGGTGTAAATTGCCCATGGTGTGAATGTTAAAAATAATAATAAAAAATAAAAAAAATAAAAAAGTATCGGCATTGTAAGACAGTCAGCCAACTAGCCAAGTACAGTCAAGTACACTCAATCAATGGAAAACGTCCAACTGTGCTAATCCTAACTGATCCAGTTTAGCCATCAAGTTGGGGATTAAGGGTTGGGGTTTCCATTTTTTTGGCATTCGGTGTAGGGTTTAGGGTTTTGCACTCAAATCATGATATCAAACCCCACCTTTTTTGCACATCTTGAGGGCTTACAGTTGATAGCCAGGGTTGGGGTTAGGTTTAAGTTAGGTTAAGTTAGGTTCAAGTTAGGTTTAAGTTAGGTTCAAGTTAGGTTCAAGTTAGGTTCAAGTTAGGTTCAAGTTAGTGTTAGCGTTCAGGTTAGGGTTAGGGTTAGGGTTAGGGGTTAGGGTTAGGGTTTGAGAAGAGGTTAACAGAGTCCTTAATTTTCAGGGTTTTTTTAAGGGTCATTGTAATAAACGTCCCACACCTTCTTACCAAATACAGTGTTGGGGTTGTTAACCTGGGGCTGAAAAGTGGGGGTCCCTGTTCACCACTTGTGTAGGGTTTAGGGTCTGCAGTTTTATCCCGACTTCAGGAAGGGATGTATTTATTGGCACTCTGATAACCGGGGAGTACGGTGTGCTTTTTTTTTTTTTTTTATCGGCTTTTTTATTTTCCGTATCTGGTCTGTGTTCAGAACTCATGGTTTGCAGTTTGGCAGGCTCAAAGTTCCAGTTGACCAGCTTAACTTGCAGTTTGGGCCTCAGAGTTGGCAGTTTGGGGTTCATGATTTGCAGTTTACGGGGCTCATGAATTACAGTTTACGGGGCTCATGAATTGCAGTTTGGGGCTCATGGTTTGCAGTTTGGGGCTCAGAGTTTCAAGTGCAGGGCCCACAGTTTGCAGTTTGGGGCTGATGGCTTGCAGTTTGGGGCTACTGGTTTGCAGCTTGGAACTCATGGTTAGCAAGTTTTGGCTTTTTTTAGGGCTTTTCTTTCCCTATCTGCTGTTCAGAACTCATGGGTTGCAGTTTGGGACGCTCAGAGTTTGCATAGACCAGGTTAAACCACCACTACCCCCCGCGGCCTAAATTCGTATTTCCTCGCCTTACGGACCGGGTTCTTAGTGGGGGTGGTGACTGGCAGGCGCAGGCGGGTCCGGTCCAAAAAATTTTCAGCGCGAACGTCGGCAATTTTTCACGCTCAGAAGAATTGACGAAAAAATCTGAAAATTTGAGATCCTGTAGATTAGGTTGTGATCTTTCCAGGAAAAATATTTAAGAAATGAAAAAGGAAAATTAGACCGTGAAATAAATGCCGCGTCGTTTCATCGCATTTTCCATTTTGGCCACTCTACCACGCCTGGGCCAATGGGAAAAGTACCCCAACTTTCGCGATTTTTTGCACTCAGAAGGATGACTCGACAACTCTGAAAATTCGAGGGTCTGTAGATTTTGTCGCGATCTTCAAAGGAAAAATATTTTAAAAAATATTTTAAAAAATATTTTAAAAAATATTTTAAAAAATATTTTAAAACATCATTTTAACAGTGAAATAAATTGCGGGGGCAATTCAACGCATTTTCCAATTTTGCCACTCCGTCAGTTCCCCCCACTGAGCTACCGGTGGCCCTCATGGACCTGTGCTACCAGTCTCCCCTAATATATGACGGCGGGGGTAGTGGTGGTTTAACTTGCAGTTAGACGTATGATCCTTTGCGCTTTCAGCCTACAAGGTGAGATTGGGGCTAAGGATTTTGCAGTTCGTTTGGGGCTCGGAGTTTGCAGTTTGGGCCTCGTGCTTTGCAGTTTGGGCCTCGTGATTTGCAGTTTGGGGCTCAGATGTTGGAGTACAGAGAGGGCTTGGAGTCGGGGTAGGCTGGACGGTTTCACAACAAAAGTTCGGTGCTTGTGACCGACCAATCTTCTTGAAGAATTCAATTTCACTGAGCCCATGTGTTGGAGACAGTGGGGCAGTCGTTAGACCATCCGTGCAGGTCGCTGACGATAGCCACCCCCCCATCTGGGGGACCACGTGGATGAGCGCATACAGTTGAAGAGGAGGGAATTGGAAGGACAGATTGCAGGGGGGGGGGGGGAGGTTAAGGGAAATTAAAAGAAAAGAAAAGAAAAGAAAAATGAGACTCGTGCTTATGACTGACTGATAAGTAACATAGCAACATACCATGTCAAGGTCCTCCTTCTCTACCACCTGGATATTGGATATTGAGCCTTCATATCGCCGGCGCAAGTACGAGTCCACTTCCAGCTCCATGTTTTTCTGAGTAAACCGGGTGGTCACCATGCAACAAATGTTGAAGCTTAAAATGTTAAAACCAAATCGCAGAACAAATGGGCCCCCGGAAAGATAAAGAAAAAAAAAAGAAAAAGAAAAAACAGGAAAAAAAAAACGACAAATATGATAGTTGTCACTTATACAAGGAGGACATAAGTGCGAAGAGGGGACCAAAAGGATGACAAACATTAATAGTGAGGAACAGACAGAATAAGGACGATGGCGAGCGCAGGGCGTGCAAAAGGCAGGCGAAAGCAGAGTCTCGCACAAATAAAGGGGATTGAAATCATCATAATGTGCCCATCCCCCAGGGCTAAAGGCTACACAAAACAACCCGATTTACTGTTTCGATGTTTCTTTGTTGTTCTTCTTCATTTTTTCCAAGTCCGCTTATCCAGGAGTTAATCACGAATGGGGTCAAGATCATGTCCCGGTACATGATTCGTTTCCTGTCTGCAGTTTACCATCAAAGTTCTTTGCCAGTTTGCCAACCATCAGTCTGTGACTCTGTGCAAGATGTCTTTCTTCCAATTTAATAGAGTTTACCATGTTTGAATTTCGAAAAGATTTTATTTTGTTATTGAAAAGATTTTTTATCTTTTTTTATTTTTCATTTTTTTGAAAAGATTGATCTGGCAGATGATCAGGCAGTTTGGGGCTCATGATGTCTGAAAAGACTGATCTGGCAGATGATCTGGTAGTTGATCTGATATGGCATCACATGCTTTTTCTTATTTTCTTTTTTTGCTGTTAATTATTTTTTTGTCCACAGACCCCACACTATGAATTGGTGGTACGTTCGGATAAAGAAGCCTTTGGGTTTTCTAACTTTTCTTATAAATTGAATGGCTTTTTTTCTTTTTTTTCAAGGCATGACAAATTGTCTGAAATTTCAGGCTTGCATTAACCAATTTAACCATCTGTTTCTGCCAGTTGATTGTCAGGCATTTGATCTAATCTGGCAGTTGGATAGCAAACACTTTGCAAATGATGCACACACGGCAATCTCATCACACAAACTGCATAATAGCCAAGCTCAAGCAGATAGCCAAGCAAAGGATCTGCCAGTTGATTTTATTTTATTTTTTTTTAATTTTAAATTTATTTTATTTTGTTTATTATTTATTTTATTTTGCTGTTACTTACTATTTTGTCCACACTATGAACTGGTGGTAAGTTTGGTTAATGAGGCCTTTGGGTTTTCATATAAATGACATGACAAATTGTGTCTGAAAATTCAGGCCTCTTAACCATCGGTTTCTGGCAGTTCATTTGGCAGGCATTTGATCCGGTCTGGCAGTTAATCTGGCAGTTGTTGGATAGCAAACACGTTGCATGCAAAGCACACACGGCAACCTGATGACGATTTTGGCGTACAGCTTAAAACTATTCCAAATACATTGACGCCGAATTTGACGGTCATTATTATTACATAAATGAAAACACCTATTAGTAAAGACTTTCAAACTTCATACCCAAGTTCAAGCAGACAGCCAAGCAAAGGAGTTGAGAGCGCTCAATTATAAGCGATCCAAGCACAATGACATGACACCTCGACCGGTTTCATCCMCCCCCGCCGAACTCCTCAGGGGGCGAGAGGGAGGGAATGGGGGGGGGAAGGGGGGGCTACCACCTTCCGCTCCCTTGACCATGCGTCAACTCCACACCCCGTGCGTGCATAAATCGTTTAATAGCAGTTGATCAGAGATTGAGCTGTCACAGCGGGCACACTACAACACAGGCAATCATCACACTTGATACAAAAGAATAAAGCAAAACTCGTTCGAGCACAACCAAAACTCGTTCAAGCACATTTCATAGAAGCAGCAACTACAAAACGCAGTTGATCTGGCAGGTGGTCAGGCAGTTGATATGGCAGTTGATTTCGCAATTTCTGAGCAGTTTGCCATCCATGTGAAACCAAGATGGTTTATCTGGTACTTCATCTTACAGTCTACATGGCAGATGATCTGGCCAATCGTGCACCTTCACATCCTAATCAAACGATAGGAAAAATTTCTTTTAATCAAAAACTCTCTCTCTCTCTCTCTCTCTCTCTCTCTCTCTCTCTCTCTCTCTCTCTCTCTCTCTCTCTCTCTCTCTCTCTCTCTCTCTCTCTCTNCTCTCTCTCTCTCTCTCTCTCTCTCTCTCTCTCTCTCTCTCTCTCTCTCTCTCTCTCTGTGTGTGTGTGTGTGTGTGTGTGTGTGTGTGTGCGCACATGCATGCATACGCACCTCTCTCTCTCTCTCTCTCTCTCTCTCTCTCTCTCTCTCTCTCTCTCTCTCTCTCTTTCTCTCTCTCTCTCCCCCTCTTCCTCTGTGTGTGTGTGTGCGTGTGTGTGTGATCGGGGGTTCAGCCTCATGATGAGAGTGATTTCAAGTCGGATCAGACAGCCTGTCACAGCCCATCTTTCGTTTGTTCCAGTACTCCCTTTCCATTTTAAGTGACAACAACATATTATATAAATGTGCATATATCCACTGTGTACATAACCATATAACTAAATAAAGGGAGCAACGCATCCATCTATCTACTTATTTATCCCATAATAGACAGTCGACACAGTTAACATAGCCGAAAAGGACATAGACAAGAACAAATTAAAACACAAAAACAAGTTTCTTCATAGACAAGAAAGACAGCATAGCTATTTAGGAGTAGTGGTAGGTAGGTAGTAAAGGTGAATTTAAGGGGGGGGAGTAGAAAAGAAAAAGACGGCAAGAAATCTTTTTTTTTTCTTTTCTTTCTTTTCTTTTTTCTTTGAAAAATTCGTTGAAAAAAGCGGACGTAGACAAGAAGGCCACATAGCCATGAAAGAAATCTTTTTTTTTTTTTTAAGCCGGACATGCACAAGACAGACAACACAGCTGCGAAGACCAGCTTTTTCTTTTTTTGCCACTTAAAAAAAAAAAAAAAAAGGGGAAGGTCGACATACCAGGGAAGCGAGCTTTTCCCTTTCTTTTTCTTAGAAAAAAGATGGACAGAGATAAAGAAAAGAAAGGCAATATAGCCAAGAAGGCTACCTTGTTACCCGAAGAGAGTTATCAACTTATCACGCTTGTCAGTGAACTCAGAGAAGTCAAACAAGAAACGTCAACAATTTCGATGGTAATCACATGAGAAATCACTTCAGAATCAACACAGTCGTCAATTTCGATGGTAATCACATGTGTAAATCACTTCAAAATCAACAAAGTTGCTAGGCTACCACCCGGGCCGCCCGGCTCACCCTATTCCCCCGGACGCCCCGGCCGTGCAAGGACCAGGG